ACCATAGAGAAGAGAATTACAGTAATCCAGACGAGATGTGACAAGAGCATTGACAAGTATGGCGGTACTGTGTGGTGTGAGTGAGGGACGAAGACGGTTAATATTATGGAGATGAAAGTAGGAAGACCGAGTGATATTATTTATATGTGCTGTGAAGGACAGAGTGCTATTGAGGATGACACCAAGACTCTTAACCTGAGGGGAGGGTGTGACAACAGAGTTATCAATGGATAACGAAAGACTGGTTGGAACTGTAGTCAGTATTAGTGGTATACCTAGTGTACAAAGGTGAACAGCAGCCAGCAGTTCACCTCATGAACTTTTCATGAGGTGAACTTTCATTCAGTCTTGACACACAGGAAAAACTGATCATGTGACACTAAACCAATTTTTTAAAAATCAGATCAGATCCCAGTGAAGCTCCTCCTCTCAGTGTGGATAAACACTGAGTATCATCAGAGAGACGCCTGCCTGGACATGGATCCACTGCTGCTGCTGCTGGTGCTGCTGTGGAGCACAGGTAGGACTGGCCTACACATCTACATCACCCAAACACACAGTTCATATCAAAGGAATTTGTATTCACTTCAGAGCCCCTTATTCAGCAGCATCACATGGGTTCATGTTCAGTAATATGTCAGATAAAGTGTGTTTATCAGAATGAAAAAAATGTAGCACACACTGCTGTCTCATGCTAAGCAGTCAACCTCATTCAGGAAAGGGAAGAGGCTTCCTGCTTGCACTGTATACAGCTGGAATGCAGTTTGCTCTGTCCACAGCTGAGTGTGACTGATAGTTCTCATCTAACTTTCTCCTCAGGAGTCCAGGCTGAAGAAAAACATCACTCAACAGGTAATCATCCTAAAAAGAAGTAAACAACCACAGAAGCAAAATAAGCAGGACGGTTTGACTTCATCCTTTTGAAAATTAAATTCATGTCTGTACTGATGATTTTCTGCCATCTATTCAGAGTTTGCCAGGCTGGTGAGAGGAGCCAGTCGCTGTGCAGGAACACTTGAGATAAAACATCTGGGAGAGTGGAGACCCATAGACAAGTCTGACTGGACATTAAAGACATCAGCTATATTCTGCGAACATCTGGACTGTGGCTCTGCTGTTTCTGTAGAAGAGAGAAAAGAGTCTGCAGGCAGATCTGTGTGGATGATCAATTCTGACTGTGCTCAGTCTGGAGCTGCTCTGGGAGAGTGTGTAATATCAGGATCCTCCTCCTCTATAGTGGATTTCACTTGCTCAGGTGAGTCAATGATTGGTAGTAATGTACCTGGTTTACACACACACACACTAGATAGACTAGCAGCAGACTGCCCAGAAGCCATGAAGAACAGAGCTTCAGAGTTCCTCTGAGCTAACTACCAGCCAGCCGAGAACTCCTCTTTTAACTTAATGAAACTTGTTGGTTAGCTTCATAAAAGACACCAAAGAACACCTGGACACAAATCTGAGACAGAAATTCTGTCCAACCAGAGTTCATCAGTATCTCCACACACAGACAACCTCTTTCACTCTGGGCACTTCCTTAATGTAGTGAATTTTAGATTTAGATTAAGATTTTTGGGAGTTTGTACTAAAATTATTTATTTTGAATTATTAATCTTTTCATAATAATGCAAAAGATGGAAATTGTTGAAATTATTGCTGAGAAGGAAGGAACATAATAGAGACATCTGCAGGTCGTAATGATGTGGCGTCATTTTGAACATCTTCAAAAATCAGTGAGAGTTGCTCCAGTGTTAAATGTAAATGTCATGCTAACAAGTGTCCAGTGTGTGATGTTATAAAGATGTGTTCTGTTGTTAATGATGAAGTCATGTTGAGTTGTGCTGAGTTTGA